TAACAAACACATTGTAGAGAAATAATGTTTATAAGTTTATCATCCGAACAATCTCGCCATCACTGAGGAAAAAAAGCTGAAATTTTGAGAACATAGGCGTAGGTCTTGGACGGGCTTATAAACTTTAAATTAACTTCATTTCGTCCGATTTTAGACCTTATTGGAACTGGCGTTGTAATTAGAGAATTAAGAACATCACAGAATGGAAATTTTTAGAATTATAACTGGAAGCAAGTAGTCCAGAATCAAATCTCTGGCCTTGCCTTGCCCTTGCATATGATCCTAGTTCAAAATTCAAGCTAATATTGTAAGTCGGGTGACAAAATTACTAAGAATTCAAAAATATTTTGAACCAAAACATCGACAATGGTGATAATAACAGCACTTATTAAAGTCAAAATTTAAATAATATTTTGAAATACACTTTTAATTATTGTCAATTTAGTAAATGCAGTAATGCCATCACATATTAATTAATTAATTAATAATAGTAATGCTGCACGCAGAACCATGAATAGGTGTCCAAACTCAGGTTAGCCTGAAGCAAGCTAGAAATTTTGAATTCAGACCTTTGTCATTTGTATGGACCAAACAGATATAGAGGATACGTGTGGGGAATTCTGCATTTATCTGTTCACATCATATTTCAAACTTCCAACATTTGTAAGTCGTGCTGCCAGGCAGCAGAATGCGTTTATACTTATTAGAGAGGCAAATGAAAGATAAAAAAGCGTCTGTAAGCAATAATATTAATATTTGACTGGATCAGATCAAGGACGTTCAAAATTTGGAAACCCGCCATTCATTTCATTCATTATTTAGTTAAGAGGATGATATCCAATAGCTGAATAAATTCGAAGGTAGTTTTCCTGCAAAAAAGGCAATAAAGAATATTTGGATAACTGCCGTTCGATCTGTTTACTCTCGCATGTATGCTAATCATGGGAATTATTACCATCCAACAAATATCTTTCATCGATGAATAGCACCTAAAAAGGCAGGCTGGATTTCGAGGTAATTATAAAACAGTAGCTTGTCTTTCCCTCGCTACTGGGATGTGCATTGAAGTACCATAAATTATTCAAAGGATAGAGCTGAATACTGTGCTATGAACTGTTGTGGATGAAGGAACCGATGTGGGAATATG